CAGGCGACCAGGAGGCCACACATCACTGAACAAATAGGCTCTCTCCAGACAAATAAAATAACACACGTTGGCCTGTGGGGAGGGGGCGAGAGAGGAGTGGGGGGAGTGAGAGGGGCAAAGAGTGGGAGGAGAGCGAAGAAGGGGGAGAGAGAAGGGAAGAGAGTGGCGGAGAGGAGTGGGAGCAGGGAGAGAGGTGGGGGAGAGGGAGGGAGAGAGGACAGCCACCCGGACGCAGAGGTGAGGGGACAGACCGAGAGGAGAGAGGGACAGGAAGAGAAGGGGGAGCGGAAAGAGAGAAGAGGGGTGAGGGGAGAGGGAGACAGGGAGAGAGATGAGGGAGAGGTGAAACAGGTGGGGAGCCAGAGTGGAGGGGAAAGAAGGGAAAGACAAGGGGGAGGGAGGGAAAGTCAGGGAGAGACAGAGGAGGTGGCTGAGAGGAGGAGGGAGAGGGGGAAGCGGGAGAGAGCGAGGGCGAGAGGAGGGGACGGTGGCGGTGGGAAGAACACCCTCTCCAACCCGAAGGGCAGGACCCAGGCCAGGGCGCAGAGTGCGCCCCGCTGGCCCCGAGCCCGGCTGTCTCCAAGTCCCCGTCCACCCCCACCGAGGCGGGGGAGGAGGTGGAGTGAGGGGAGGAGGGGGAAGGATGCGGTCGCCGCGGCCTTTCGGCCGGGTTTGCTCGGGTTTGTGGGCTCCTTTTCTGAGACGGAGGCGCGCGGGCCGAGAGGCCGCGGGCGCCTCACAGGTGGAAGCGGATCTTTGGCGCCCCTGGTTCAATGTCATCTTGGCCAGTTCAGTGCCCTCCCGACTCTTTCTGTCATAATTCTCTGGTTACGACTGTCCCACATTTCCTGGCTTTTGCCAACACCGCCCCGCTCGGGCCCTTGTGCCCCCTCCTCGGGCGGGACGATCCCACGGAGGCAAAAACAAACAGCCCTGAGGGCACTTCAAGGAGCGTGCGGTGGCCCCGACGGCACAAGCGGGAGGATAAAGGAGGCGGCCAGCCACCCCGTCAGCCCGCGGCCGAATAATGGGCGCGCAGCAGATTGCCAGGGGCACTTGAAACTCGAGGGGAGGGAAATAGTTGAGCGCCGTCCCTCCCCGCGCTGGGCGCGCGGCGCAGCCTCGCGGATTCTCCCTTGTTCGCTCTCTTTCATGCACTCTCCTTTTGTGTGGAATTATTTAAACGGGAGATCCCTGGCAGCTTTATGCTAATGCGCCGAACAAAGGCAACGGCCTGCGGGCGGGGGGCCCGGAAGGTGCCCGGAGGCCCGGCCAGGCGGGGCGGCGGGCGGGCGGGCTGCGCGTGTCTCTCGCGTGCCCCTGGGACTGACACAACAACCCCTCATTCCTGCAAACACAAAGCCTCCCCCGGGCTCGGGCCCGGCGCGCAGGGCGCACAGAGGCGCGGCCCCCTGCGGGCACTGCGGCGGGCACTGCGGCGGCAACTACGCGCGGCTTCTGCCGGGTGGTGGCTTATGGGGACCGAGGGCCAGAAGTAGGGGCCTCTGTGAAGCCAGGTCTGCAGCAGAGTGGGGACACGGGGGACGCTGACAACTCCCCTCCTGCTGTCCCCAAACGCCCTACTTGCCGCGGAGTGAGACGGTGGACCCGCCCGTCTCCTCCTGTGAGTTCAGGAGCTGCCTGTACTCTTCGACACCCCAAGGAGCCAATTCCTCTGCCGAAGTTCCCCGCTTTAGCGCTCATTTCCAAACGTCGCGCTTTCTAGAATCTCCCTGGAGTCCTGACTTTCATTCGGAACCCAGCCTGGGATCACAGTGAACCCCGGCGCGCGCCCTGAAGGCAACCCTGCACACCAGGACAGGAGAGCTTGGGGCGCCTGCGGCCTCCAACTCCGCAGCCTTGGGAGGAAGAACCCACAGCGGGGTCTGCAAGGACAAGAAGCGAAGAGGCCCCCAGATTTTTACAAAGCGCAGGCCAAGACTCCGCGGAGAGAAAAGGAGTTGGCTGGAGCGGGGCAAGCACACTTCTGTGGCCTGCCTTGAATCCTTAAGCTCACGGACTCCCAGGAAGCCCCCCTAGGGGGTGGCAAATCGACGCTCAGGGTTTCCCCCAACTTAACTCCACGCCGCCCTGACTCCGAACCGCAGCGCGCAGAGGCCGGCCGCGGGGGCGCAGTGCGGCGGCGCTTTGCTCTTCCCAGAGAAAGACAATCTCGACCCGAAGTCCCCATCCCTGCGGACGCGCAGACTCTGAGAAAATCACGCAGGAGGCGGCGGAGACCCACACGCCGGTGCTCGGCTGCACCCGCTTGGACGTCGCTGTGTGCGCGCGCGCGCCTAGCCCAATTCTTGCCCAGCCCCGGGAGCTGAAATGAGTTCCCAATACTTGTACCTTTCAAGTTTCCAGTTATTTTGACCGTACCCGTCTGAAAGCAGGTTTCATTTCCGCTGACAAGACTAGAAGCCACAAATAAAGAAAAAGAAACGGGTCCATTGAATCTCAGTATATCAACAGAGTTCAAAAGAATCTCTTGGCTAAATTCAGAGCCCTGTTTGTTGCATTCACTCAGGCAGGAGTTTTGTTTTGATTTTTTTGTTGTTGGTGGTAGTGGTTCCCCCTCCACCACCAAGCCTATTGACAATTATGGGTGTTGTTATTTTTTTAGGGATTCACAAGGTGACTAACTCTCCCCATTATCGGTTATCTGTTGAATGAAAGGAGTGTTACATTGCAACACCAAACACCCTGCAGTTAGTTGGGGATGAAGGGCTGAGCCCCCTCTCCCCCGCCCCCGCCTTATTATTCCACAATCCAGATGGGATTCGTGATTAGAAAATAAAATTGGCCAAAGCTGTCTCGGAATCCTTTTCCCACTTCTAATTTCATCAGCAGTATTAGTCAGCGCTCAAAGGAGCAAGGAAATAACATCAGTCCCTTTTGCATAGAAACAGTTATACATTTTGGAAAAGTCATTGTAAGATTTCTAACTTTGGGGGGACTAGCATTCATCACAGTTAGCATTTTTTAAACTGGGGTGAGATCTTTCAAATGATATTCCATTTTATGTATTCGTCTCTTTTCAGTGTGTGGGTTAAATATCACAAACATAAAAGCATCAAGTATCTTTCCCTTGATTAACCAACTTGATTAACCCCTAAATTAACTAACCTAACAACTGTCCCCATCACAACTAATAAGTAATAACTCATGTGGACTCTATTTAAATATCGGTTCGACTTCTACGCCAGGGTATTTTCAGAGGGAAAATCCGAAACAATTAAATACCTTCAGTGGAATTAAGCATAAGCAAAACTCAGCAAAATCTGTCTGGGTGCACGGAACTTCGCAGGAAAATGTTTCCTTCTCTTTCAATAAAGTGACATTTTCCTCACCACACAGGGCATTTTGTGGGGCTTTTTGTTATTTGTTTTCCAGGGACGGACGATCGGGGCCTCTCGGCACTCGCGGGGTTCTGCCCCGGTCCCCCGAGATTCTGCCTTTTGTGTTTCCGCGGGGCTGGGCTGGGGAGAGGGTGGAGGCCGCCCGCCGGCTCCGAGTCCAAACGGGCCGGCGGCGGGCTGTGTGTGTGTGTGTGTAGGGGGGTCTTCGCCGTTGTCTTTCCTGGTGGCACAGGGGAGGCGGCTTGTCCTCCCCGAGGCCGCAGGCTGCCTCCGAGGACAGATTGCCCCCCCTCCCCCCAGCCGGCAGCACGCGTCTCCTTTGCGTCCAGATTGGCCGCGACCGGCGCTCAATAGCGGGAGGTTAATTTCCTTCACAAAGGTGAAGGGGGCACGGCTCCGGGGGGGCCGCGCCCAGACAGGCGGCCCCTTTATTCCTCAGCGCCTTGATTGGAGCCCTTGATTTAGCATCTGATGTCAACCGGCAAACAAAATGCCCGCTCCGAATGAAAATGCATGAGGCCGCGCCAGGAGGGAGGAAAGCAACTTCAGTGGGGCGCGCGAGGCTCCCGCGCCTTCGGGCTTTGGCCAATTCGACCCAGGTTCATCCAGCCCCGGACCGCACCGAGGCTCCCGGCGGCCTGCGCGTGCCCCGCCAGAGATGCCAATCCCCGAGCCCCCAGGAACTTAAAAGAAAAGTTCAGAAATTCAAGTTCCTTTTGGAACTCGGCCCAGCCCTCCCCCCACGCCAGCCCCGCTGCTGCTGGCGACTGAAGACGCGCTGTGCCAACTGCTCCTCAAACTCCGCCGAAGCCTGCCTGAGCCCGCGGCCGCGCCGAGGCTTCTAGCACGGGCTTCGCCCGCGGCCGCAGCCCGAAGGCCAGCTCCTCCGCCCGGACTCGGAACTCCGGGGTCCCGTTTCCTCTGGGACCCCGGGTCCCACAGCCCACCGCTCCCACTGCGGGCGGGGGCTCTAGGCCGCCCGGACGTCGCAGCTACTCGCGATGCTTGTTTATTTGCCCGACACCACGCGGAGCTCCCGCGCCTCCCCGCACGCCCGCGCGCCCGCAGCCGCACTCAGGTCGCCCCCGCGCCTGCCTCGCCGCCCGCCCCCGCCCAACAGCGCGCACAACTTCCCCCTCGGCTCCGGCTCGCGCATTGAACCCTCCTGACATATTTGGGGCCATTCTTCTCCTTTGTTGCTATTTTGCTCGCGACCCGCGGGTAATCCCCGCGCGGGAGGGGGGCGTGCATTGTCGTGCTGATGGACGGGCCCATTTGGCGGCTCCGCGCCCCCCGGAGGAGAGACACAAAGCCCAGGCACGTGCGCCTCCCCATAGAGGAGCAGCAGACCGTGAAGGGAGGCGGGGCCGGGCGTGTGCCGGGGCCGGGCGGGGCGGCGGCGCCGGGCGGGGCGGCGAGGGGGCGCGGGGGCCCGCGCCCTCAGGTACATCTGGCGCACCTACCGGGCGACCCCGAGTCCCGGCCCCCTTTTTGCCGCCCGAAGCTCTCCCACCCTACCAGGCAGAGGAGCTGCGGGCGCGCTGATTGGCTCCGGGGGAAGCGGGAGGCGAGAACAATGGCCCCCTCCCCCCGTTAAAAGGGAGCGGCCGACGGACCCGGGGACAGGGACGGGCGTGCAGGGCGCAGAGCCGGGCCGAGCCGCCGCCGGCGCCACGCGAGTCCCGCAGCCGCCGCGCCCGGGCCATGGGCCGGGGGCACTGAGGGCCGCCCGGGCGGAGCGCGGAGGTGGGACCGAGCCAGTGCCTTGCCCTCGCGCCGCGCCAACATGCCCCGCGGCTTCCTGGTGAAGCGCAGCAAGAAGTCCACGCCCGTGTCTTACCGGGTCCGCTGCGGCGAGGACGGCGACCGAGCGCTGCTGCTCTCACAGGGCTGCGGGGGCGCCCGCGCCGAGCCCCCTGCGCCGAGCCCGGGGCCGGGGCCTCTGCCGCCGCCGCCGCCCCCAGAGCGCGCCCATGCGGCGCTCGCCGCCGCGCTCGCCTGCGCGCGGGCCCGCGCCGCCCGCCGGGCCCGCGGGCCGCGCACTTCGGCAACCCCGAGGCCGCGCACCCCACGCCGCTCTACAGCCCCACGCGGCCCGTGAGCCGCGAGCACGAGAAGCACAAGTACTTCGAGCGCAGCTTCAACCTCGGCTCGCCGGTCTCGGCCGAGTCCTTCCCCACGCCCGCCGCGCTGCTCGGAGGGGGCGGCGGCGGCGGCGCGAACGGCGCGGGCGGCAGCGGCACCTGCGGCGGCGACGCGCTGCTCTTCGCGCCCGCCGAGCTCAAGATGGGCACGGCGTTCTCGGCGGGCGCCGAGGCGGCCGCGGCCCGGGCCTGGCCCGCTGCCCCCGCCGCCGCCTGCGCCCCCGGGCAAGCGGCCCGCGCCCCCTGCCGCCGCCGCCGCCGAGCCGCCGGCCAAAGCAGCCAAGGCCCCAGGCTCCAAGAAGCCCAAGGCCATCCGCAAGCTGCACTTCGAGGACGAGGTGACCACGTCGCCGGTGCTCGGGCTGAAGATCAAGGAGGGCCCGGTGGAGGCGCCGCGGGGCCGCGCGGGGGGCGCGGCGCGGCCGCTGGGCGAGTTCATCTGCCAGCTGTGCAAGGAGGAGTACGCCGACCCGTTCGCGCTGGCGCAGCACAAGTGCTCGCGCATCGTGCGCGTGGAGTACCGCTGCCCCGAGTGCGCCAAGGTCTTCAGCTGTCCGGCCAACCTGGCCTCGCACCGCCGCTGGCACAAACCGCGGCCCGCGCCCGCAGCCGCCCGTGCGCCGGAGCCCGAAGCTGCCGCCAGGGCAGAGGCGCGGGAGGCGACGGGAGGCGGCAGCGACCGGGACACGCCAAGCCCCGGCGGCGTATCCGAGTCGGGTTCCGAGGACGGGCTCTACGAGTGCCACCACTGCGCCAAGAAGTTCCGCCGCCAGGCCTATCTGCGCAAACACCTGCTGGCGCACCACCAGGCGCTGCAGGCAAAGGGCGTGCCGCCAGCGCCCCCGGCCGAGGACCTACTGGCCTTGTACCCTGGGCCCGACGAGAAGGCGCCCCAGGAGGCGGCCGGCGACGGCGAGGCGGCGGGCGTGCTGGGCCTGAATGCGTCTGCCGATTGCCACCTGTGCCCAGTATGCGGGGAGACGTTCCCCAGCAAGGGCGCCCAGGAGCGCCACCTGCGCCTGCTGCACGCCGCCCAGGTGTTCCCCTGCAAGTACTGCCCGGCCACCTTCTACAGCTCGCCAGGCCTTACGCGGCACATCAACAAGTGCCACCCGTCCGAAAACAGACAAGTGATCCTCCTGCAGGTGCCCGTGCGCCCGGCCTGCTAGAGCGCGCCCTCCTCCCGCCCCCCGAACTGTGCCTTCGCTTGGAGACCCACAAAGAGAGCGCGCCCTGCATGCCCCACCCCGCGTCCGCGCTGGGGGCGCCCCCCTGCCACCGGGTGAAAGTGTCGTCTCCGCTCCTCTCGGTGTGGCGTGACGGTAACCCCGATCCTCTCGTTGTGACTCCTTTTGGATCCCCCGTTTTTTGTTGTGTCCCCCCCAGTCCCCATGGCGCAACAGGAGCCCATCTCTTTCTGTACAAGGGGAGAAAAGCTGTACGCGTTTGTCTTGTGGTTGGAAGCCTCCCCTTGGAGGGGAAGGGCTGTTTTTCTTGCTAGTATTCGCTGTGTTCATGGTCTAGAAATGCGGTTTGCTCTCGCCTACCAATCTCTGCTCTCTATGTATGTAGCGTACGGGTTGTTTTGGGTGAATCTTGAGGAATAAATGCCTTTATATTTCACAGGCTGTAAATTGAACTTCCCACACGATTAGCTTTATTATGGCTTGTGAACTGCTGGAGTCTGGCTTTACCTTTTTGTATGTGAACAAATCAAATTGCTTAAAAAAGAGTTTTCTTTAGTATAGCCACAAATGCCTTGAACCGTTGTCTGTTTGGGATTGTTTTTGGGGGGAGGGAAGGGAATTTGCAGAAGATGCTGTAGTAACTGCCTCAATATTTCACGTAAGACTTTTTTGTTTGATCATCTTTGTTGAGGTAGGACTATATGAGTTCCTTCTAAATGTATATGTTGATTTATGAGTAATTGTTATTTATTCTTTATTTATTTATATTAATTATGAAGATTATGATATTATTTGATTGCAGATCTTTTTTTTTTTTTTTGGTGCGCTTTGCCCCCTTGCCACTCTTGACATTTCACTGTGCATTTTAGAAGAGAGCCTTTTTCTAAAGGGATCTGCTAAAAGTTTTAACTTTTATACCTGTCTGAGTGAATTACAGGCAACCTACCATTTTATTCTGCTTGGAAGGGTCCTTGAGGCCCTTGTACAACCGACAGCTCTTACTTTTAAATGCAATCTCTTTTCTACATACATTATTTTCTTAATTGTTAGCTATTTATAGAAAGCTTCAATAGAACTGTTTCAACTGTATAACTATTTACTATTCAAATAAAATATTTTCAAAGTCAAAGTATGGTGGACTGATTTCTGTAATCACATGCTTTCAACAAGGATTTAAAATACAGCTTCTGATTTCTTAAAAGCTAACTTTATTTTTTATTAAACACACACACACACACACACTACCATGACCAGGGTCATCAGTTTTTAGAGCTAAACCCAAACTATTCGATTCTGCGCCCCTGGCAGTTCAATGGTGTAGCCTTGGAATTGGCTAATTGGAACTGCAGCCTTTTTGGGGTCCTTAGTAATGTGCTGGAAGGCAGGTTAGAATGAAGGCCCCCAACATCCTATCAGAGAAATGTAGACTAGACAAGTGTCCAAAGGAATCTATCCTTTACACCAACGGGGTGTAGGAACATCACTTTCATTTCACAAATCCTTCATTTCCTGACACGTTGAGTCTCAGGGTAAAAGCAATCCCTCGAATAAATAAAGTGGGTGGGTTTTGCTCATTAAGTATCGACTACAAGAAAGTAGAAATGATTCTACAATCAGATTTCCAAAGTAAGAGAAGCAAACCAATTCACATTTAGATGTAACGAAAGTTAAGCAAGTGGGGTAAGGAAATAACTTTCCAATCAGGTGAACAATCTATTGGGGGGGGGGGTGATGGAGCACCATCTGTCTGGGGTATTAAATTTAATAACAGGTAATTGCAATGTTTCCCGTTATGTGTCACTCAGCTCTTTGAAGAACAATTCTGACTTTCACCAGTGAATATTTTGTTTTCCTCTGTCTCTGAAACATTTGATTAAGGAGCTGTGCTAAACTTCACAATTGTGCATTCCCTTCCTTTTGTGTGTTTTTGTTACTTTTTTCTTGAGGCCCACTAAATCTAACACTGGCCCACCAAAGAGGTCTTGGGAATCTATACTGTATCGAATCTCTAAAGAGTAGCTGGAATGAGGGTGGGAAGGGCAGTCCATGAGGCACTTGGATGGAAAAATTATTGAAAGAGATCATTTTCAGATTCTGAGCCTAAACCTAACTTTTTTGTGGGAGAGGGCTTAGTCAAAGGCTTAGCTAGCAAGAACATTGAATATCTCCTCACCCCCCTCGTTTTTTTTGTAAGATCTGAAACAGGCTCAGAATAACAATGAAGGAAAAACCACTACAGGTAAGTTGCCTCTGGGACTAACTGCGCGTTGCTTTTTTATTACTGATGACTACATATTTTAACAATTTAGAAAATAAAAGACAAAAGTTCAGGGCTGGTATGATATAAAAACATAAGGACAAAGCAGCATTTATACCATCCTGAAAACTTTGAACGAAACAAAGAAAAACTCAAATTTGTGGGCTGCTCCTTCTTCCTTCCAGCAAAAATAACATGGAAACTTCTGAAATATTCTCTCTGAATTACACCATACATTAAAAGATCCCTCAAACTGAGGGTCAGCATATGTACATTGTAGGGCAATAATTTTTCCTTAAAAACCTGAAGGTTGGCCACACACGAGTCTAGACATGCCTGCAGGAATGGTATCTTGTCATCTGTGTTAGGCTGTTTTTCTTCTCCATAATCATAAAACATGAATTCATCTACGATCCATCTTTATGAGGGTAAATATAATTTGGTTGTTCACAAACGTGCTCCTTCATCCCCTGTGGAAATTTATCTCAATTGACCAAATACACCTTTTCTAAACTAGAAACCAAAATTTCATTTATGTGAAATATTAAATGCAACTGTATAGTAAATGGAATATGTTGAAGGTGACTAAACACCGTGTAAGAAATAATAATAAAAAAAACCCACTTGTCAATTTATTTCAAAGTAAAACAATATGAGCTAGCAGCATATTCCTCAGGAAGGAAATCAGATTCTCTCCCTTTCTTCACGCCTCCCTGGATAATAAGTTCACAGGGATCCTATTATAGAACACCAAGTTGAACCGCAGACACTTGCTTTATAAATATGCAAAGGATGCTGAGGACATCCTGTGTGTTTTGAGGGTGCCACAGGCTTGGACTGCCTGTGGAAACTGCTCCAGGACTCCCGCACCATGCCACAGCCAAGGTGTGCAGGTGAGAGGGTCAGGGGGTCAGGAAAAGTGACAAGGGTACGGAGGGAGGAGCTAAAAGAGGGAACAAATAGCAGAAGGGGTCTGATTTTTGCCAGGGCCTCCATACTTCCCTACTTCTGCACAAATTGGTGGAATACAGAGCAAAAGAGGATGTTCAGCATTCCTTTGGTTCCAAAGTGAGCCCGGAGCTGAAATAGCTGCAAGACACACTAGTTTCCCCTTTCTTTGGGTTGACAATGTCCTCTTGTGGGGCACTTTCCCCTCTGTTGCTGGCTTTGCCCTTCCCTGGAGGCCTGGGGGAGTTGGGACTCTTGCAGCCCTCAGAGCAGGAATGTTGTACCGGAAATGGTGTGATGTTGAGTCCGCTTACTCAGAGCCTTGTGTGCTGGAGGTATTCCTTCCCTCTGTGTCGCACCGCATGGAGGAGGGGGTTGTGCCTTTCCGATGATGCCAGGCCCACGGCTGGATTCAATCTGGGAGTACCCCGATTGAGCAGAGCAGCAACAAAGCCAGGAGACCGGCTGGACCCCAACAGTGGCATGGCCCCCATGGGCAGGTTGGGGTGCCTTGCAGGGAGGGTTGGGCAGGACAGCGCTAGCCACCAGTGGATGTCACCCTGCATGTCCGTGCCCAGATGCTGTTGCTGAAGATGCAACATCTCTCATCTGCTTCCATGTGCTCTGAGTGGCTGCCTCCTCCTGCCAGGTGATCTGTCCCACCCCATTGGACTTAATTCCACAGCCATCCACCAAATATGCAAACGAAACAAAGCAGAGGACTGTCTTAACAATCCTACTGAATAGATAGCATTATAGGAATTCTTCATGTATCAACTGTCTTGCAAAAGAAAAAGGGACCTCAAATAAGGGTTGAGACAAGCTCAGGGCTTTCTCAAGGTGGGTGGCTTGGCTTCCTACAGGGCTCTGTCTCCTCTCCTTAAACTGGAGGTAATGTCCCTGGCAGACGCCCTGAGGAGATCTGTGAGCCCTTGGGAGATCTTTGGGGAGGATTGCTGAGACTGCAAGATGACAGGCAGTAAGGACTCCAGAGAACCCCATTCTGCCTATGGACAGGGGAGAACCAGTGTGCAGGGAGTGCTGTCGCATGGCATCTAGGCTTAGTTATACACCCACTGGCCTGTGGCAGGCTTATTTTGAGCAAAATTCGCTATCTTTTTGCAGAAGGAACATGTGGGTCTTGTAGAGAAATTTCCTGGCAAACAGAGCCTAGTGTGTGAGGTAAGATCAATCACCCAGTTAGCTGGTTACATGGCAAGGATTAGAGTTTTGTGGTGGCCGGGCTAGAGAAACCTGTAATGCTAGGTAGTTAAAGGTACACGATATGGAATTTTGAGAAGATCAAGGAGGAAACTGAGTTGTAGAGAGAAACCCACAGGTGGCAGAACACACCAGTGTGAGAGAACCAACTGAACAGCAGCCCCAAGGATCTTGATTCCGTTTAATTGCCAACGTGGTGCCAAAGCCTGGTGCACAATGCAGTGGCCTAAAGACTCTTAGATTCTAACCTTAAGTTATGGAAACATCTGATTGGTGTTTTGGCAACATAACCTGAAAGTAATAGCCTGAAAAATCTCACCTGGGTGAGAAAGAGAGATGCCAAATGCATCTTCAAGTTACATCCTGTCTTATATATTAGGGAAGCTTACTGTTTCTTTATTACCAACCTGCAGCATTAAATGGCCAATACTCATGGGGAAGTCTGGTTTACTCACTACTCCTGGGTTCTAATATGACAACTGTCTCTAGCAGGCACATCAGCAACACAAAGAAAAGTTCAGAAGTGGGAGCTGGCTCTATGACTTAAGGAGACCTAGTGGCAGGCCCATAAGTGTGTCCCCTGCTCAGCAGCCCTAAGGTAAAGAACTATCCACCAACACTGCTGTAAGTCCTTGAGCTCTGGTGTCCTAGGTCATCCTGTCCCCTGGCAGCCTTATCAGCCAAAGTTTCTAAGTGAGGCCAGGTACACTGGGTCCGAGGGAAGAAGGGGCCAGAGAAGACAGATGGCACCTACCTGCCCAGCGATTTTGATGAATAGGAAAATCTTTTTTTTCACCAGGAGAACTAGGGAGCTACTGCCTCCTCCTGTGGTTGCTAAGGAAACAGAACAATACCTTTCAGCATCCTCTCACCTTTTGCAAACAACCAGCTACAGGTTCTGATGTCATCGAGGCAGCTTCCCAGCCACAAGAGGATTTTCTGAAGACCAATGAGTCCTGTGTCTTTGGATATTTTCCTTACGAGGAACTGCAGGGGGGAAATTACAACAGGCCAACAGGTGAGACTGGGTCTTCAAAGCAACAGAGCCCAGTGACAGGTGTCACCAGCAAGGGACTTGTGATGGAGCTTCAGGGTGAAGGAAATTGATTTCTCATAGCTGGGTAAGAGAAACAACTTGGCTTACAAATTTACCATTCACAGCTATTTTTTGGTGGTTATTTAATAACTACCTCATATGCCTCTCAGAATCACAGTACCGTGTTTCCCCAAAAATAAGACCTACCCATAAAATAAGCCCTAGCAGGATTTCTAAGCATTTGCACAATATAAGCCCTACCCTGAAAATAAGACCTAGTGATGGGTGTGCACAACCCATGCATTTCGTCGAGGAACGGTAAAGAAGACGAGCAGCCCTTCTCATCTACCCCATGGGAGCTCTAGTGCTCGACATGAGAGATTGGGGCCAATGGTTCTAAAGGAAACAGAGTCGCAAGACATTCAGGATGGAATTTGGGGTTTGGAGAGTTATGATGATGTTCCAGAAGAAGATGACTTAACTATATTTGAATAAATGTAGATTGTTGTACTGTACTTAAAAAAAAAAAACACATCCCCTGAAAATAAACCCTCGGGTGTCTTCTTGAGGAAAAAATAAATATAAGACCCTGTCTCATTTTGGGGGAAACACGGTACATATTTGGACATATGATTTGAAATCAGTTTAGATCTTTTCGGCCGGGCAC